CGGAAGGGACAGCAGGACAGCAGTAGAATTAAGGGTGATGGTCCTATCAATATTATACCTAAGCAAACAGGACATGGAACATGGGTGGTGGTGTTTTTTAAACACCTACAACAGGACCTCACCAGAAAATGGAGGAGAAGGGTCCTCAACACACCTGGCCCCAACAACTTACCTAGATAACTTTCAAATCATCCTGCAAACCTACAAATTCCATCTGAGATTTAAGGAGTGAACAGCTGGAACGCCACAGAGTGTAAGGATAGAAGGAACATTCCCCAGCATCTTAAAAGCCATCTACAAAAAGCCCACAGCAAATATCATTCTCAATGGGGAAACACTGGGAGCCTTTCCCCTAAGATCAGGAACACGACAGGGATGTCCACTCTCAACATAGTACTAGAAGTCCTAGTTTTAGCAATCGGACAAATAAAAGGCATTCAAATTGGCAAAGAAGTCACACCCTCCTTCTTCACAGATGACATGATACTGTACATTGAAAACCCAAAAGACTCCACCCCAAGATTGCTAGAACTCATACAGCAATTCAGCAATGTGGCAGGATACAAAATCAATGCCCAGAAATCAGTGGCATTTCTATACACTAACAATGAGACTGAAGAAAGTGAAATTAAGGAGTCAATCCCATTTACAATTGCACCCAAAAGCATAAGATACCTAGGAATAAACCTAACCAAAGAGTAAAGGATCTATACCCTAAAAACTACAGAACACTTCTGAAAGAAATTGAGGAAGACACAAAGAGATGGAAAAATACTCCATGCTCATGGATTGGAAGAATTAATATTGTGAAAATGTCAGTGCTACCTAGGAGAATTTACACATTCAATGCAATCCCTATCAAAATACCATGGACTTTCTCAGAGAGTTGGAACAAATAATCTTAAGATTTATGTGGAATCAGAAAAGACTCTGAATAGCCAGGGGAATATTGAAAAAGAAAACCAGAGCCAGGGGCATCACAATGCTGGATTTCAAGTTGTACTACAAAGCTGTGGTCATCACGACAGTGCGCTACTGGTACAAATACAGACACATAGATCAACGGAACAGAATAGAGAATCCAGAAATGGGCCCTCAACTCTATGGTCAACTAATATTCGGCAAAGCAGGAAAGACTATCTGCGGGAAAAAGGACAGTCTCTTTAGTAAATAGTGCTGGGAAAATTGGACAGCCACATGCAGAAGAATGAAACTAGACCATTCTCTTACACCATACACAAAGATAAACTCAAAAATAGATGAAAAATCTAAATGTGAGACAAAAATCCATCAAAATCCTAGAGGAGAACACAGGCAACACCTTTTTTTGAACTTGGCCACAGCAGCGTCTTGCAAGATACATCTATGAAGGCAAGGGAAACAAAAGCAAAAATGAACTATTGGGACTTCATCAAGATAAAAAGCTTCTGCACAGCAAAAGAAACAGTCAACGAAACTAAAAGACAACTTACAGAATGGGAGAAGATATTTGCAAATGACGTAACAGATAAAGGGCTAGTATCCAAGATCTATAAAGAACTTATTAAACTCAGCAGCAAAGAAACAAACAACCCAATCATGAAATGGGCAAAAGACATGAACAGAAATCTCACAGAGGAAGACACACACATGGCCAACATGCACATGAGAAAATGCTCTGCATCACTTGCCATCAGGGAAATACAAATCAAAACCACAATGAGATACCACCTCACACCAGTGAGAATGGTGAAAATTAACAAGACAGGAAACAACAAATGTTGGGAGAGGATGTGGAGAAAGGGAACCCTCTTGCACTGTTGGCGGAATGGAACTGGTGCAGCCACTCTGGAAAACTGTGTGGAGGTTCCTCAAAGAGTTAAAAATAGAACTGCCTTACGACCCAGCAATTGCACTGCTGGGGATTTACCCCAAAGATGCAGGTGCAGTGAAAAACCGAGATACCTGCACCCCAGTGTTTATAGCAGAAATGTCCACAATAGACAAACTGTGGAAGGAGCCTCGGTGTCCATCGAAAGATGAATGGATAAAGAAGATGTGGTCTGTGTAGACAATGGGATATTCCTCAGCCATTAGAAACGACAAATACCCACCATTTGCTTCAACGTGGATAGAACTGGAGGGTGTTATGCTGAGTGAAGTAAGTCAATCAGAGAAGGACAATCATTGTATGGTTTCATTCATACAGGGAATATAAAAAATAGTGAAAGGGATTAAAGGGGAAAGGAAAGAAAATGAGTGGGAAATCTCAGAGGGGGTGACAGAACATGAGAGACTCCTAACTGGGAAACGAGAAGGGGTAGTGGAAGGGGAGGTGGGCAGGGGGCCTTGATGGGATGAGCACTGGGTGTTATACTATGTTGGCAAATCAAACGTTAATAAAAAATATACAAAAAAAAAGAATAAAGTAAAACAATTTAAGAAAATAAAAACCTAAAACAGACAGTAAAAAGCACAAAACTTAATTATTTAATATATCTCTATGATCACCACTCCATCCGTTTTAGAACATTTCTAGCATTTTTGTTCACCTTATTTAAAAATAGTGAAAAACCACTGAGATAAACACTATTTAAAGTATTCTAAGAAGTTGGTAGAGCAGAGGACTGTAGATGTTTGGTCACGTGGGCATCCTTAGGTCGGTGGTTCGAATCCGGCTCGGAGGACTAAGCCTTTGGAAAGGTTTTCATTGATGCAGCAAGTCTGGACCCTTAATGAAAGTTAAGAAAACTTGAGCACAGTTGGGCAGGTTGTCGTTTGTGCTCACAGATGAACTCGTAGGCCTGAAAATAACAACAAAAAGGATCCTCAGGTTCGTACAAAAGAAGCTGCTTATGTAAGACAGGGTCTCCTGGGAGACTGACTTTTCATGAAGTTTTGGAAAGGGTCATGCGGAGTCTGGAGAACCAGAAAGCAGGCTTGGCCCAAGGTTTTTATTTTGGAGGTCCTTTTGGATGGCCTTTCTGGGCTCTCTGTTGATATTTAAGTGAATAAACATTTTATTGATGACAACTTCAAATACACACAGGTGGAGAAAACAGCACAAATTACCATCATAGGCATCACACCTGTACAACTAGCATCATCTATTCCCCTTCATGCCCCCTTCCCACCCCCGACCTTGTGAAGCAAAACCTAGACGTGCTCTCACTTCATCCACCGCCGCTCCGTGTTTTGAAGAGGTAAAGACTATTATTTTTTTAAATTTTTAAAAGTTTTAAAAATTTTTAAATTTTTTAAAAAATATTTACTTACTTATTTATCCGTGAGAGATCCACAGAGAGGCAGAGACACCGGCAGAGGGAGAAGCAGGCTCCCCGCAAGGAGCCCGATGTGGGATTCAATCCTGGACCCCTAGGATCTCGCCCTTGGCCAAAGGTAGACGTTCAACCACTGCGCCGCCCAGGCGTCCCTGAAGACCTTAGAATTAAATGCGGGACCGAGTCTGTATCTCTTAGCGCCCCCATCCTTCCTCCAAAAAAGCAGCGGCGGGCAACTGATAGAAAATTCCGTTATAAAATTAATGAAACTAGTGTAAGCACCGGAGAAGTCTGGCTTATTCGACCTTTCGCCCGCTGCATCAAAGAGCTAGACGCCGTGTTCAGGCAGAAATACACTGGGAGGGACGCCTGGGTGGCTCAGTGGATGAGCGCCTCCCTTCAGCCCAGGGCGGGATCCTGAAGTCGAAGAATCGAGTCCCACATCGGGCTCCCTGCATGGAGCCTGCCTTTCTCTCTCTCTGTGTGTCTCTCATGAATAAATGAATAAAATCTTAAAAAAACAAAAACACAAAACACTGGGAGAGCCTTCCCCGTGCCCCTGCTGCAGTCCTCCGGCTTCGTGTGCGCACACGTCCGTCTCAGCGGGATGGGAAATTTTGTCCGGCTGCAGCGAGGGCGGGTTTATATTATCCTCACACTCGCCCGGGGCCCCTTCTAGAAAGCCGGCTGCACGGCCGTCCACTTTGGTAGCCTCGGAGCTTTGCATTTGGCCCTGCAGCAGGTGCAAAGGCGAGGGCGCGGGGGCAACCGCGGCGCCAAGAGCAGGTGAACGGCGCCCCCTCCCGGACGGTTTCTGCGCCACAGGAGAGGTCTCGGAGGCGGTTGGGAGGGGGCTGGGCGGGGGTGGCCGGGAGCCAGGCGTGAGCATCGCGGGTCCCGCGGTTCCTTACTCCCGGCCTCTGGCAGGGCAGGGCCCAGGGGGCCAGAGTTAGAGCAGCGCGACGCCCCGGGTCGCCAGGGCCGAGGGGACACAGGAAACCATGTGTTCGTAATATCAATATGAATCACGTGTCAATACAAAGGTATGACAGGCGCCGAAATAACGTTTTTAAAACCAGAAAAGTAACCGTTGCACATTAACTGTTGCACATTTTTTGGTAATCTTATTCACAAAATCAAATTTATAATTAATATTTTAAAGCAAACAAAAGGTTTTACACTAAATGAGGTCACAATTGAAATCTTTAAACTTATCTAAATTTCCAAAACGTGTATTTTCAAAGCTAAACTACATTTCCAAAACCTAAAGACATCCAGAGCTCGAATTCTCAAAAAATAATTGAAACGTCAAAACTCAAGACAATTTTAAAAACTGAAATTTAAGTCCACTTTGAAAGGTGTATCATCTCCCAACCGGAGTCTTGCCCAGGTCCATAGGTCAAATGGGCTGATCGCTAAGACACAGAAACCTCGCCCGACTTCCCAAAGCTTTCCAACGTATCCAGAAGAGGCCGCCTCCTGCGTGCTTCCACGTAGCCGAGGCGTTCTCTAGGGTAAGTGACCCCCGGGGACCAACTCCTCCACTCCCGCCTCCCCGTTGCCAGCCGCAGCCGGCTTCACCATCTCCAGCCTTTGATCCCGCCTTCCCGCTTCGAATCCAGCGGCCGACCAGGCCCCCACTTCCGCTTGCTGCATCCAATCTGGTCCTTCTATGTACTATGGCGTCATCTCCCCGCCCTTCGCCGCCGGCCGGCGCACGCGGTGTGCGGCAGACGGCGCGGCGCTTTACGGCTGTCGTACGTCTCATCTGCGCTAGCATGGAGGCCGAGGAGTTGGAGAAGGAAGTTGTGGGGCAGGAGCCTCTGGAAGGGACAGATCAGAAAGCAGAGGCAGAGGAGGAGCAGGAGGAATCTGAAGAGGCGGCGTGTGGCGCCAAGAAGCGGGTGGTGCCGGGTATTGTGTATTTGGGCCACCTCCCGCCCCGCTTTCGACCTCTGCATGTACGGAACCTTCTCAGCGCGTTCGGAGAGGTTGGACGCGTTTTTTTCCAGCCCGAGGGTAAGAGCGCGGGCCCTGGATGTTCGGGAAGGGGGTGGGTTCCCTAGCGCGGAGCCAGGGCGCTGCGGGGGCACGGGGCTCCAGGCCGGCGCCCGACTCCCTTGGTCATCAGTGGAGCTCTCACCTTTCAGGAGGCGGGATCGGGGGTGAATAGCTCAGTAACACACAATGAGTAGTTCTTGCTTGGATAGTTAACTTGGGCTTGTGTCGATTCCGCACGCCCCCGTTTCCTGAACCGGATTTGCCAGCTTGTTAATGAGTTCACCCTGAATAAAAATCTGAGGCTTTTTTTTTAAAGATATATATTTTTTTGATTTTTTATTTATTTATGATAGTCACAGAGAGAGAGAGAGGTAGAGACACAGGCAGAGGGAGAAGCAGGCTCCATGCACCGGGAGCCCGATGTGGGATTCGATCCCGGGTCTCCAGGATCGCGCCCTGAGCCAAAGGCAGGCGCCAAACCGCTGCGCCACCCAGGGATTCCCCTGAGGCTTTTTCAAACACAATGGAACCCATCACCTCTGCCCTCGTGACCTGAGTCTAGAAACAGACTCAGGACAGGTGTATGGCCAGGTGACCCCGGCTTTCGTCTGAGCACTGGTTGAGTTGGGTTTGGGGGCGTGTGCGAGTTTTAAATAGAATGTCCAGAGCCGATCTGATGCAGATGTTGACGTTTGAAGAAAAGATTGAGTTTGACGTAGGGAAATGGCGTACGGGGAAAGGCCTTGCGGTGGGTTCCTGGCCCTAGGGGTCGTAGATGAAGTTGACTGGGTGCCACGTCGGCCTCCTAAACCTGCTGTGCCTTTGGTTCACAGACGGGTTCGTGAGGCGCAAGAAGAAGGCAGTGTCAGCCTCAGCCACAGGAGGGAAAAAGCGGTCCAAGTACAGCAAGGACTACACCGAGGGCTGGGTGGAGTTCCGGGACAAGCGAGTAGCCAAGCGTGTGGCGGCCAGTCTTCACAACACGCCCATGGGAGCCCGAAGGCGCAGCCCCTTCCGTTATGACCTATGGAATCTCAAGGTGAGGGGGGTTAGGCTCGCCTGCCGCATCTCACTCTTTCATTCCTGAGAATGCATTCCTGACATATCTTACCTGGATCTTTTCCTGTTTTCCTGTCCACAGTACCTGCACCGTTTCACGTGGTCCCACCTCAGCGAACATCTTGCCTTTGAGCGCCAGGTGCGCAGGCAGCGCCTCAGGGCCGAGGTTGCCCAGGCCAAGCGTGAGACTGACTTCTATCTTCGAAGTGTGGAACGGGGACAGCGCTTCCTCGCTACTGATGGGGACTCTTCCCGCCCAAATGGCTCCTGGAACTTTGCCCAGCGTCCTACTGAGCAAGAGCTGAGAGCCCGGAAGGCAGCTCGGCCCGGAGGAAGTGAACGGGCTCGCTTAGCTAATGCCAAGGACCAGGCTCGTTCCAACCGAGGGCTGCTTGCCAAGATCTTTGGAGCTCCACCACTTTCAGAGAGCACAGAGGAACCCTCACTAGTCAGGGACTCTTAAAAGGGAGAGAGACCCTTTCTATCTCCTGGCCCTGCTTCCTGTCTACATGATAATGACTACTCAGGCAGACATTTCATTTCTAAGACCAGGAATCTCTAGTGGGTGCTTAGACATAGACGTCTTATGGATCTCTGGTCCCCCCTCCAACTCCTGTTGCCTGGCTGAGGCGCCTAATTCATACTAGCATGAGTATGACTAACTGCAGATTCCTATTTTGTTTGATTCTTGACTATCTGCTTCCTGCCCAATAGGCTCCTCTAAAAATCCTACTTTCTGGGCCTAGGAAGAGCCTTCACTTCATGCTGGAGTGATAATATCTAATGCAGAAAGCTATTTTACTAACTGTTAGGTGAAGGGCAACAGCAACATCCTTTCTATTTAGATAAGATTAACAGGGACGGGTTAATGGGGTGGGACTGCGTTGGGAGCCACCTTCCAAATGTTTGTATAGAAAAGAAAAAAATGTGTTTGTAGTTTATTGGAAATGGGAGGTGTTTTGTAAGTTCTGACTTCTATCTCTTCATGTCCTGTTCACTCCCCTTAACTTCATCCCCTGGTCTCAGAGACACCATTCCTCCCTGACCCCTCTCAATTCAGCCTGGGACCTTGTCTGTCTATCAAATTAATTTCTTAGCCCATTTTATCAGTTATCTAACCCAGCATTTACTAAGTCACTGTATGAGGACACAGGAATGGTAGGTAATATAATACATGGCCCTTGGCATTAAGTTATAGACCACTAGAAAGGGACAGATACATAAGAAATAAATATACAGAGGTACTACAGGCATCATTGTAGATATATATAAGGGATAAAGTAGGGGCCATGGGAGGGCATGGTTGACTCTATCTTGGATGGTAAGCCATGCTTAATATGGAGCTGATTCTGAATCACAGTCTTCCAGAGATGGATCACTTTCACCAGGTTTCTAGATCATTCCTGAAAAGTGAATTTAAAATCTAAATTAACCTGGTTTAGTCCTGATGTTGGAAACAAAGCTCCATGGATGGAGTGTTTGGTTCAAGAAACCATTGTAAAGGCAGACAAAACCTAGGAGGTAGTCAGGCCCAAATGATGCCCCTCAGGGGCACTTTTATGAATTAAGGCTTAGATGAGGGAGGGTTCACAAACAATATTCAAAGCAGCTCTGGAGGCCACAGAGTCTATGTAAGCCACGAAGAGAAGCTGAAAAGTGAAGTGTCACGATAAACTAAGGAATTAAATGATAAAAACAAACATTAAAACTGGGCAGGGTTCCTGGCTGGATCAGTTGGTAAAGCATCTAAATCTTGATTTCGAGGTTGTGAGTTTGAGCCCCATGTCAAGTTTAGAGATGACTTAAAAATAAAAAATCTTGAACAAACTGATCAATATCTAGTTTTTTAAACTTATAGGAAGTAGTAGAGTGTAATAATTTGGATTTTGCTTGTGCTATTTAATTTTTTTCCCCACTATGCTTAATATAATTACTCATTTGTTCTTTGGGTGAAGTGGATTAATCCACTTATTTGGTTCTGAAGTAAAATTTTAGTCATGCACTTGTTTTGAGAGAATAAAAATGACCATACAGTAAAAAATGTTTGCCTGGTGTAACATTTTCCACAATGCCTATACCGTTCACACGCATCAAACAAAAATGTGTGTAATGTTACAGCCTCAGTCTTATAAGAACTCCATACCCTTGTTTCTGTGTTCATTTCTTGTGAGTTTGTTTCATGTGGATTGTTTCTTTGGGTCCTAATGTCTTCCACCTGAGCCAGAAAAATCCAGTGTCAGAATTTGATCAGCTGTTTATGTACTCAGAATTCTAAGTGCCCATTGCCACCTTTGCTAGATAAAGAGAATATCAAGATTAGGAAACTTCTTTCCCTTAGGTTGCTAACAACTTAGAAAGTAAAATACATATAGGGCTTAAGTATTTGAAATAAACTTCTCAGGCTAGGTGGCATATTCAAGGTCAGCATCTCAGGCTCCCAGTCAATAGTTTTGCATGATTAGCTCACACCTACAGTCTGGTAAATTGGATAATTCACAGGTCCAGTGAGAAATGAAAATAAAACGGGTGGAAGAAAATGAATTTCCCGAGGAAATGTCAGCTTGATTCCTTGGGGACTGAGCCCTTTGAGGGCAGGAAAATTCCTTTTTCACGTTTACTATTTTATTTCTCTCTCTTTTTTTTAAAACTTTTTCTATTTATTTATGATAGTCACACACAGAGGGAGGCAGGGACGTAGGCAGAGGGAGAAGCCGGCTCCATGCACCGGGAACCCGACGTGGGATTCGATCCTGGGTTTCCAGGATCGCGCCCTGGGCCAAAGGCAGGCGCCAAACCGCTGAGCCCCCCAGGGATCCCCTTACTTCTCTTTTAAATGTTGCCATGAGTGACCCTGACATAGGTCAATTTTGTACAAATGCAGTACTTCTATACATTTCCAGAAGCGGACTCACAGACTAATTTTGGTAGCTAATGTCAAAATGCCTTTTATGAAAAGTGCAAGAGACCATTTTGGGGATTACGCGAGGAAACATGGTTTGCAAAAATACCAGTGCCTGGAAGCCAGGTGCTCCAGGTAGAAGCCTCAGCACTCCTCGCTATCACCGACGTGGGGGTCCGACCTGAGAACCCGACTGAGGGAGAGGCCGGGCCAGCTCGGTGTAAGGGGCAAGCTTTGCAGGACTTTGGCCAAGCGCCCGCTGCTGCCCTTCTCGGTGTGCACGCTACCGGACGAACAGACGCAGGTACAGGAGGTGGTATCTGGAAACAAAGTCAGCAGCATCAGGTGCAAAGGACGGGTTTGCGCTTGTATCTGAGGGCACCGCCAAGGGACTCGGCAAATCCGTAATCACCGAGCAAGAGAATATGACGCGTATCTCCATTCTCAATTTTCATTTAATTTGTGACAATGGTCAGAAACAACCTAGTCAGACAAAATATCAGAAGTAAAACCACTACGCGAGACCCTTAAATAGCAACCACCGTCCCTGGGTGGGCTCGAACCACCAACCTTTCGGTTAACAGCCGAACGCGCTAACCGATTGCGCCACAGAGACGCCGGTGACGAGCGGTCCCTCCTCAAACATGATCATTTCATTTTTCCAGTTCAGACTGATATTCTACGAGTGTAGTTTTCGTTAGGACTATATATGGAAAAAAAATGTTCCCTTGTGATTTTTTTTTTTTTGTTCCTATGTTTGTTTTCAAAACAAGTTTTGGTACTACAAGTCTTACTCGTAGAGAGGAACCTCGGAATACCGATTAGGCGGGGAGCAGGGCGCAGGACCTCTCTTTACCCGAGTGTGATACCATCAGAACAAGGACATCCGGACAGAGTTTATTTTCAGGCCAAAAAGAGAGTTTTCGCTGACACTTGAGTTGATAGAGCAGCCCCTCTAAGGATTCTGTATAGATGAAGATAGCAGTAAGAGCGACAGAAAGGAAAACCACTTAGGGGAAAATCTAGAGGCTCATCAATGCATCCTTAAATTATCAAATAAAAGTGTGCTTCCTGGGCAACAGGAGATTCTCAGGTACCAAAGTGGCAGTGCAGAGCTATCTGGCTAATTGGAAAGAGAAAAACAAATCTCTACAGAGAGGAGACTTACCTCTCCACTGAAACTAGGGATCAAATTTAGCATCATTAACAGCGGCACAAATTAACACTGTGTGCTTCCTGATGAAGTCACAGGAAGTACACAGCACATGATATTCTGCGAAAAAGGATTAACTTGGATGCAATCAGATCTGTAGACAACTACTAGCCTTGTCGCTTCATTAAGCTATTGCTGTGTAACAAGACACTAAAACGTCAGTGGCTGTGTGAGTCACGGTTCTTTCAGAAAAGCTTTTAATGAGAGATAAATCTCTCCTCTCTACCTCAATCCCTCTCTTTATAGAGATCTTCCTTCTATATCTATTTATCAATCTGTCTCATGGGGATGCCTGGTTGGCTCAGCGGTTGAGGTCTGCCTTCAGCTCAGCGGTGATCTCTGGGGCTGGGGGCCTGAAACCGCACTGGGCTCCCTGCAGGAAGGCCTATATCTCTGTCTCTCTCTCTGTCTCTCATGAACAAATAAATAGTGTAGAGCGGGCCAGCAAGCCGGAAACTCAGGATTTCTATGTCACAATCTTGAGACAGGATTTCTTCTTCAGGAAGAAAAGTAGTGAAACATTAAGAATTTAAAATGTTGGTTGAGTAAAATAAGATATTGGAGATTTCAAGGTCAAAAAATCCACTTAAGGTCCTCAGTATAGACTTTGAGTGTTTTTGGAATACAGAGTGCATAGAAAGGTCTGGAAGGTAGTGCAAAATTGACATTGATATGTCCCTAGAAAGACTCCCCAGCTGGGAGCAGAGGTGGAGGCAGGTGATCACAAATATTATGATGCAATGCATTTTTCTTTGCTAGGAGAATAATGAGCCAAGTAATGTACTATTTTGTCTTAGATAAAGCTTTGACTCAGAAAGGTTGAGTGACTCGCGCAGGGTAACACAGGTGGACTTCGTAATCCTAAACTCTGAACCAGTAAGCTCTAGTATATTTCCTACTACATCATGACAATGGGGAGTATTTCAAAGAGTTTCTGATCTAGGGTAAGAATAGTGTCATGTAAGTTAACCTACTGGCTAGTGTCTGTCTACCCACACTTCAAACTAACGTATCTGGGAAATGGAAAGCTGAAACACTTGCCTCTTGGGTTAAAATGTGCTTAGAAATATCTGTTATTGTGATCCCACATCAGAGAGAAGTCAATTAAATTCTTGTGATACGTCAGCGCTATTAACAGAGGCAAAAGGCATTTCAAAGGGAATAGGAATTTTTGACGAGTGAGATCAGATTTCTGTAATTCTCCATCATCATATCCCAGTGTAAACCCTTCTGTTCAGAATCCAATTGAGCCTTGGTGAATTCTATAGCCACATCCTTAAATGTCACTGTTTCCTTAAAAGCCAAACAAATCCAGGGATGCCTGGGTGGCTCAGGGGGTGATCCCAGATTAGGGATCGAGTCCCACATTGAGATCCCTGTGGGGAGCCTGCTTCTCCCTCTGCCTATGTCTGTATGTCTCTGTGTCTCTCATGAGTAAATAAATAAAATATTTTAAAAAACAAACAAATCCAGAATTACCTGAGGGGCTACAAGCCCAGGGATGAATAGAGTGTAGAACAAAACAAAAACAAAGCAAAGCGAGATATAGTTATGACAGAATAAAATATTCTGAGTCAAGACAAGCCAAGTCTATTCATTCTTACTTTGTGTCTAGTACTGTGTTTGAGTCTATGCCAGATACAAAAACAAAGAATATCAGTCCACAAGAGATGGGAAATTTTACATGTGTAATAATTTCAAAATGATATAGCACATAAATTGTGAACTTCTCTCGTGTCAAATAAATAAAGTCTTAAAAAAGAAAAAAAAAAAAAAAGAAGTAGAGGCACCTGCGTGGCTCAACTGGTTAAGCATCTGCCTTCAGCTCAGGTCCTGATCTCAGGGTCTCTATTCCTCACTCAGTGGGGAGTCTGCTTCTCTCTCTCCCTCTGCTGCTCCCCCTGCTTGTGCTCTCACTCTGTGTGTAAAATAAATAAAATCTTCAAAAAAAAAGGAGAGTTACTAAAAGAACAAAAAGACAAGCCATAGCCTGGGTGGAAAATTTACCAAAAAATCCACACATAATAAATGGTATCCAAAACAGGCAAAGAACTCTTAAAATCAACAGCAAGAAAATAATTTAAAAATGGGCAAAAGATCTAATCAGACACCTCATCAAAAGAGGTGTACAATGGCAAATAAGCATATGAAAAGATGCCCCACAGCCTATGTCATTAGGGAATTGCGAATTAAAATAACAATGAGATACTATTCCACACGTATTAAAATAGTTAAAATTCAAAACACAATAGCACCATGCTGGTGAGAATGTGGCCCAAACGGCCCAACGAGAGCTCACATCCGTCTCTGGTGGGAATGTACAATGGTACAGCTACTTTGGAAGAATGATGGTTTCTTACAAAGCTGAACATAGTCTTCCCATGCAATCTAGCAATTGGATTCCTTGGTATATACCCAGAGAAGTTGCTATGTCAACACAAAAACCTGCGCACAATGTTTCTTGCAGCTTTATTTGCCAAAACTTGGAGGGAGGCCACCAAGATGTCCCTCAACAGGTGAACAGATGAACTGTGGTGCATTTGGACAGTGGAATATTATTCAGCACTGAAACGAAGTGAGCTATCAAGCCATGAAAAGACATGGAAGAATCTTAATGCATAAGGCTATAGACCATAGGATTCCAACCCTATGGAATCTGGAAAGGTAAAACTGTGGAGACTGTAAAAATGTCAGTGGTTGCTAGAGGTTCAGAGTGGGA